TTGCCTGCTACAGTGGGATACTGCGATGCCAAGGGATGTTTTGTCTGATTTCCACTTCCAGGCTTTTATTTTGACATTTAAAAAAAGTGGAAAAAAATACATTGTTGGCATTCAGAAAAATAATTCATCATCTGTTTTATATGAGTGCGGGTAATAGAGCTGGAATTAAGGAAATGTCATCTTTGCAATATGCCCAGACTTCTGAATGAGAGGGATTCCCGAACAAACTTCTTCCAAAGTCACATTTCAGACTTGCAGCTTCCACCAGCAGGACCTCTGGCAAGGCTGGCAAGAGCATGACTGCGAATGTGGGGAGTTTGGAAGCAATTCTCAGAGCCTGGAACCACACCAATGTCTGAGCCACGGATTTCTCCTCAGGAGGACAGATAGATCAGAGAAAGTAGAAGTCACACATTAATGTCTGAGTCAGAGATTTTAATCTCTTGAAGATCAAGGGCCTATGTCTGACCTGCACTTAGATTTTGCTCTGGCGTAAAACCAGAATAAGTGTGCTTAAGCTCAGACCTACAGACTAATTTCTCAAATGGCTTGTAAAATGCAGCACTACCTTATAAAAAGCCATGCACTTCTAACCTACTCTAATTCAGCAAAACACCACCCTCACACCCATTTTGTTGTTCCCTGTCCTCTAGCAGTACTAGCAAGAAAAAGTATGGAAACTTCCACCATTTAGCCAGAAGCCTGGCCTGTCCTCAGATAATCCCTTGTGGGGCTAGACGGTGGGACCAGAGCCAGGCTCTGTCGTCAGGGCTCCCCAGCTGGTCAGAGGGATGTGTTTGTTCCCAACTGTCCCTTATTGCATCTCAGGATGAATGGCTCCACACTGACCACTGCAATTGCATGACAGTCCCAGGAGAATTGCTATTTAAGCCTAAGGATGGCACTGGAATGAGAAGAAATATGTCTAAACTGGACATAATTGCATTCTCGCTGGTTATTAAAGGAAGGTTCCTAACCAAGTTTTTGAAGAGCAGCCAAAATGATTAATGTGGCAAAGAATCCCCTAATTATTTTTAAAGTAGAACTTGCTACGTTTTTTTGAGGATCTATTGGAGTCAGTAGTCCCAGCAGTCCTCTAACCTGCTTTCCTCTGATCAAGGGGTCTCTTGGTAACTTAGTGTCATTTGTTAGCCCTTATCTACACAAGACATTGCACCAGCAGCAGAAACGGATGCCTCCCGTATGCCTGGTGATGTGGGAGGGACATCATTCTGTTTAATTCTGAGCTGAAAAGACCTCCCCTTTCCTGCACTGAGGTCTGTGAAAATCAATTTGCTCTACGCCAATGTTGGTTTCATTAGAAAAAGTCACCTCCAAAAATCACCTCCCCAACATACAAAAACAGACCCCCCACCCCCAAACTGAGACATCAAAATGAATCACACTCTAGAAAACCTTTTTCCTCCAGTCACAAAATGCTACTGGTGATACTTACATTCCTCTGGGAAGCCCTTTGGGTAAGAAAATCCTCACCACATGCAAGATCTTCTCTAAAAAGAGTATTATTTGCCCAGTGATTTGCTTTTAGTGTTCTGATATTAAACAAAAATAAATCTATACACAAATTTTGGAGTGTTACACTGAGTTTATTTTGAAAAAGAAATCAAAGAATGTTTTTTTCATCTCTGAGCCAGATGGAAAGAAAAAACAAATGTATTCCACCCTAAGAAAGAAAACACATGAGAACCTTAAAAAAATTTTTTTTAGCCAAGTTTTTTTTTTCTTTTTTTTTTTTTCATTGAACAGCATGGAAAAAGTGAGGTGGAGATGGTGAATGAACAAACAGGCTCTGGTTTTAGGAAGGCACAGTTTCTGGGTAACAAGGGTTTTGTCTGTAAGGCACTGTCCCATCCCTAGATAACGCAAACTACCTCTGAGTGAGTGTGGGGAAGTGCAGAACCTGCTCTGGGGGCAGCTGGGTGCTCACGGGGGGAACAAACATCTCCAGGGTGCCCAGAGACACCCACAGAAGTGAGGGGGGAAGAAGAGCAATGCAAGTCTGGAGGCAGGAGCTGGAGACATTTTGTTCCCTTTGGATGCTACATCTGCACGAGCTGCTCTGCTTTTAACTGAGGAAGCTGCACAGGGGAAAAGTGGTTTTGTTTCCACACGCGTGAAGCGACTCGGCCGCCTTTCCCCTACTCGATGCAGAGTGGTTTCCTCCGACAGCCAGCGGCTGTCCTCAGATCAGCTCCTCGCCTTGCCAGGCATCAGAGACCAGTTCCTGCTACTTGCTAAAAACAGAGGAGCTACTTGCTGGGACCAGAAAACTAAAAGAGGAGGTCAGCCATCCGAGAGAGAGAGAAATAGTGAGATCGGATTAGCCCTTATAAACAGACGATTTAAGATAGATGCAGTAATGGCTAATCTAGGGACTGATCCTGCTCTAATTGAGTCAAGGCATCCATCACTTAGGGGTCCATCTGAGGTATTTTGTGTGCTAGGTCAGTGAACTGAAAGAGCGAATTCTTGCTTCTTAAGACCTTCTTAAAGGTCTTGTTCAGCTCAGACCTTTAAAACCAAGTTTCTAGCACCTAGTTTCTGCAAGAACAATACACTAAAACTGCAATTAAGGGATAAAATAGCCACAGTCATGCTTAGAACTGGGGTAGTGTGAGAAAGAAGGCTTTAATGAAAATAATTTTCCTTAGTTTGATTTTTAATACCTATGAATGCTTCTGGCTCCACATCTCTGATCTCCACATCTCTGTTGGTTGCACAAGCACACACAGAGTAAACAACATTCACTTCCATGTTTCTTCTCAGTGCTTCCTGTATTGGAACATTTGCAGGTATTATTTATAGACATCAAAGGGGATGAGAGTATGAGACTTATAAGCTCTAATCAGCTGAAGGTGTTTCCAACTAAATTAATGAAATGAGTAAGAAATGACATTAAGAAACCCAGCACTGTATGTAAATCACAGCGACTTTGCACCCTTTCTGCCTTCCCCTTCCCTTCTTGCAACAGTCCCAGTGCTTGCCAGGGTATATGAACTTGCATTTAGTTTGATGTAAAACTAGAAAAAAGAATGATGGAAATGTGTACTCAGTATGCCATGTTGTAGTATTTGTACATAAGAAGAAAAGCCAAAACTTGAGCTGGAACAAAATAATTTCATCTCTCTTAAAGCTTTCCATACAACCTGCATTATTGTTCAAACCATACAGAAAGCAGATTTAATGGGGATGTTTTCCAGACCCCATGTGGCAGCTCTGACTTTCATGACAATTTCATGGCCCTTTCTGGTGTCCTGCTTGCATCCCTGCCAACCTCTCCTTTCTGTGACAGGCTCCTGAGCTGTCTTAACACTTTCCCAGTCCTCCCAGTGATTTCAATCTTTGTTGCCATTTGACACCTCCGTTTCCCTCCTGCAGGAATACCGCATCAGAAGGACGGTCTGTCTCAGTCTGCCTGGCTGCTCATGCCGGATTTTAAGGGTAACTGGACATGCCAGGCACATAACTGCAGCATCCTTCTCCAGCCAGTTTTGCCCAACAGCTACACTCTTTGCTTCAAATGCGTGAACAGAAAGCTTGAGCACAGGCATGCTTCATTTCTCAATTAAAGGTGAGTAAGTAGAGCATTACTATAGATAATTACAACCCAGCTTTGAAATTAATTTTGAAATTAGTATTGAATTCACAAACATATTTCATCCCTAAACTGTCCTAGTTCAGTGGTTATTTCCATGCTCAGGCCACCCAACTGCCTGTAGTGTAGCATAGTTGCTGTGCTAGTTTTCAACAAACAAAGCAGCTATCACTGATAAACAGCCATTTCTGTAACCTCATGCAGGCATAAGTACAGCTATAGCTGTTGATCACCACTGCACAGAAAACCTCTTTAGAGGGACTGGAGGACACTGTATGGCTCTTGGATCATCTCATCTCGGTACATACCATCACCACTATTGCTGAAGGAAGAGAAGGATGAAATCAGGGCAAGGAAACAGTACAGGTGGGGCTTACAGAGAGTTTTCTCATTAACTTATTTTGTCGACAGGAGTCTATCACATCAGTAAAAAGCAGGAAGATTGTAATTTAATGTGGCAGATGCTCAGAATGGACTTATTTCACGTAAATAAGCCAACATTCAAAACAAAGGTAGTAGTGCTTCCAATTCGGTGTGGCTCCACAAAGCTCCACTCACCAGGGCTTGTGAGGCTCTCTGGGTGTGCACAGTAATAGTTTTGCACCTCATTATCCAAAAATAGCAGTTAACATTATCTCCACAGGCAATGTGTAAATATATATGTAAACAGTATAGCATGTATCTACACAACAACTCCCAGGTACAGCATGACAGAGTGTATGGCAGAATCATGTTGTATTCAAAACCTGATGAAAAATCAGAAAGAAAAGTTTCAAGAAGTCCAGACTGTCTGAAAAAAAGCCCTGCCTCCAAGATGGTGACACAAGGTTTCTGCAGCTGTAATACACAGACCTTTCACTTTTAATTAAATATACGCAATTTTGATATTGTTCCTGTCTCATATCTAATACGCACCACAGGACAGATTCTCAAATGTAACATTTTCTGTATTTTCCTTAAGAAATTTATAGGTAAGAAGCCACACCCCCCGCACGAACGCTGGAGGGAGTGTGAGATGGAGGAAAGTAGCATTCTTTAATTGGTTGGTCTTAGGAGCTATATTTAAAAATCTGAAGTACAAAATCTTGTCTCTTTCCAACAGAGCTGAAGTACTTCAACAAACTTATCTGCATTCAGCCAAGGTAAATGGCAGGTCAGGAGGAAATGGGAAAACAACTCTCCTTCCCAAGAATCCAAAACTTCGTGGTGTAGCATGTGGCTGTGCAGAGAGTATGAAAACTGGGAACTGAAACCAGAGTTAATAACTTTAAGTGGTTGCTAATTTTTAAAATTCCTGATAAGCAGCACTGCTGCCTAGACAACAGCTCATGGGACAGTGGAGGAAACTGGCTGGGTGATGAAATAATTTCATTAGCCACACCGCTTTGTTTTACAGAATATTTTATTTTCTAGTTTGTTTGGGAGAGAAGTACTGGTCCAAGAAAACAGAGAGATCGATTTACAAAGCACTTGGGAGAAGTGCAAGTTGATTAGACTTTTCTGAATATGGCATATTTTTCTTACCAAATATTGAAATCTATATTGAAATCTATACCAAATATTGAAATTTAATTGAAATTAAAAAGAAACATATTTCAGTGTGTGCAGCTCCTTAGTTTCTGTTTTCATAAAATCCTTCATCTGGCTTGACTTGCAATATGGGTAGCATGTACTGGTGTAGAATTCCTCACAAGAACAAAGAAGGAATTAAAACATTTCAAAATCATTCTTAAAAGTTGTTGATTTACTTCTGTGGCATTTTCTCATGAGTAGAAGGTAGGCAGGACAGCAGGCAGACAGGAAAGCAGGCAGGCTGAAAAGAGGGAAAGTAGGCAGGCAGGAAGCCAGGCAGGCAGAAAGGGGAAAGCAGAAGGCAGGCAGAAAAAGCAAGAAGGCAGGCAGGAAGGAAAGAAGGCAAGCAGGCAGGTAGGCAGGCAGGAAGGAAGATAGGAAAAGCATTTATTAACATAGTACCCCGATGGAACACTGGTTGTGATCAGAGCTATAATGAGTATCTAGTCCTTAGTCAACTTAATTGTTACACACACAGACTAGACTGCATATAATAAGGAAAACACTATCTAAAATCTGATTTAAAAGTTATTTAACCAGAACAAATCATCTGGAAAAGTACAAATATTTCTAACTGGAAAAATATTTCTCTATAGCTGAGCTAGGCCTGACAGCAAACCTTAATGAGTTATTAGTACCTTTATTGTTTTCTTTGGCCCCTGTGCACTATATTTGTAAAAAAAAGTCAGTAAAAAAGAGAACAATTGTAAAAAGCAAATATTTTGTACAAAAATACAAAGTTTTAAAAGCTCTTAAAAGTATATTCCATATTATTGATAAGAGTTGGACTATATATATATATTTATATAAAATCTATATATTCGTGTATCTGTATAATTTTCCTACATTTGGGATTTTAGCAAATGAAACATACTGTTTACACAGTTGCTTTATATGTTTTTCTATATGAGTGACCAACAGTCTTACTCAGATTGACAGAATGTCTTTTCTCAGAAGACACAAGTTGCTTTTGTATATGGTTGCTGGTTGGGAAGAAAATCTATAACAGAATTAGTCCAACAGTATTTCCTGATGCTGTGGGTTGAAAGGCCTCGAATAATTTCAGAATGCTGGATGAAAGTTGCTGCTGAATTCCTTTATGCGTTTAAACCAGTTTTCAGTGCTTTTGTTTTTTGTTGTTTTTTTTTTTTTTTTTTTTTTTTCAATGTTGGTAGGCAATGTTGCTCTCTCCCAGGATTTTCTTCTTCTTTAAGTAAATTTCCATAATGTGTAGGTATCTGTAAAGTCACAGCCTATTACACTCCAAATATTTGCCCTACAGTATGAGAGGAAAAAAAAACAACAACAAAGAGAAAAAAAAATCATGTAAAAAGCCTGTGAAGATTAAATGCATTTCCAAAAAGCAAACTTACAGAGATCAAATTTAAGTGGACTCACATTCACATCCTATAAGTCCTAGAGGATAAATATTTGTAAACCATGAAATTTTCTTAAAATAACAAATACATGTTGGAAAATGAGGGCAAATTACATTGTTACTTACACACGGTCCTTCACTCTGCACATCCAAACAGTTATACACACACCATGCTTGTTCAGCACTTTGTTTTGTTTTGTTTTAGAGGGGCATTTCTCTGGATAGGATGTAATTTTGCCTCTAGCTGACATTTCTGTCTGCCTTCACTGAAATTCAGCCTACAGGTTTGCAACTGGAGCAGCCAGGCACCCTTGGCAAAGCAGTGTTTAAACAGGTTGTATGGAGGAGACGATGTTTTAGGCAGAACCCCACTGTGAACACAAATACCACCTAGCTCCATGGTGACAGGACCAGGCTCTAAGCATCCATGTGAACCACCTGCTCTCTGCCATTGCAGAAACGCCTGTATAATCAGAAGGAGCTGCTTCGTGGCAATCACCTGAGTGACTGCTGGGCCACATTGGCAGTTCATGAGTCCTTCACTCCAACTGCAACAGATGAGTTGCTTGTGGCCTGGGGACCTGGCCTCTCAGCCCTAGGGGACTTCTCCTGGCAGCAGTGAGAATTTTAAGACTTCCTTAGCAGTCACCAAGTGCCTCCTGTTGCACAAACTCTCAAAACTGAGTCATCTTGTTTTTTGAAGGCTGGTCCCTGAGCAATCTTAAGGCCAGCTTTCCCCCCTTGTGTGGCCACTGAGTCTATAAAAACAGCTTAATCTGTGACTAGGCTCTGGAGTACATGCCAAATCATGCCTGAAATTTTGGGTATGCTTAAAGTCTACAAGAAATGGTCAAGATGCAGAGCACATCATGGATACAGCCAGCTTTGGAGGCTGCTCCTTCCGAGTACAATAAATCCAGAATCTGCATCATGAAGAGTATAAGAAAAGCACATGTTGGGCTGGATCTGAGTAGAAGTGCTCCATGTGTGATTCCCCCTCTTCCTCAACAAGGCACTGCCATACCACCTAGCCTGGATCTTCTCCTCTTTAGCTGTGGAAAATTTACTATGGGTAGGGTGAAATAATCAAACCAAGTGCCTTGCTTACCTTTGTCCATGTCTTTTTCACAAATGAAATTGTTAACATCTTCACAGTAGAAGTCATTCCAGAACCCAGCATAGATCAGCCCAGCACAATCTTCCCCTGCCTCGTGCCCATGGCTCCAGTTATCAGGTTGCCCAGTTTTCCAGTTTCTTTCAACCAAAAATCAAAAGATATGATTGCACAACACAGCACACATGACAGTTTTTCACCACAAGAAATTAACGAAAACATCATGAGATCTGTTCTGAACGGGAAATACACGTTGAAACAAACAATACATGACTCTTGCTGAAAATGGAAAACAGATGTATCACAGAGCAGGGAATCTATTCAGCCTTGGGCTGCCAGAATTCATAGACCTAAAATTAGACCGATGAACTTTATTTTAGTTTCTGAATGCACATGCACATGCAGTGGGAGTGCTCCACACTCCATGTGAATTGCCCTAAGCCTGCAAAGCCTGCGTGCTGCGTTGCTGCTGGCCGGAGGGACCGAGGAGTGCTGGCTGGCCCCCAAGCGCTGCCAAGATGGCAGCCCCCTGCCATGGCGCACCGCAGAGGCACTCAGGCCTCTGACCGCACCGAGGCGGGCCTCTTGGGAGGAACAGCAAGGATTTATGCGTCTTATGGACCCATGCTTGGATGGGAAGTGAATTTCTGGACTTGTAAGGAATGTACAAAGTATACAGGCACATATCTTTTGAGATCTTTAGCTTTGATGGTGAAACTTAACGCAGCATGTAAAAAGCTTGCAGCAACTGTTTCCTCATCTTGTTTTTGTTTAATAAGTGAGAAACGATTCCAACTTCAGGACTTAAAAGTTCCATTTTCCTGAAGAAACAGGTTGTTGAAGGGACTTTGTGATTACTGGCTGATACAGTCCATGCTCAGCTAAAAAACTCGCCTGCCTGATGCAGAGTGTTTGACCAGACACCTGGGAGGACATACAGCTTTGCAGAAGTAATGAAATACTTTGAAAATCGGTAACTGACAGCTCTGAGGTTACAACAGGGCACCTAAAACAGCAGTGTAGTGGAAACCTATTGAAAGCAGCAGCCAAAGTGGGAATCAGTCACAGTGCTGCCATAAAGAGAAACAAAGATCAAAATGGGGAGGCAGAAAAAGGGAAAAATATTCCGGCTTGTTTGAAATGCATCTGACTTTTTCCATGTTTCTCATCAAAATGAACACCAATGAGATCACAGCTAATCATTTTGTAACATCTGACTGACTGCAGTCTGTTCTGGAGCACAGCATGCTCAGCTCTATAAACTCTTTAGTCCACTCCTCAGTATTAAAAATTTGGGTGGTTGCAATCTGTTCCATTTAGGACAAATTAGGTGTAGCCCTAGGATTCCTGGGGAGCTGCCAATTCAGTGCTCAGCTGGCTTTGGCCGTAGACATCCTCGTTTCATGCATTTTCCTTACGTTTAATGCTTTTCACTTGGATTAGGGTTTTATCTAAAGGCTGGTCATTTTTTATCAGAATGAGAGCTCTATTTATAGCCACTTGTAATGCAAATAAGGAAAATTCAAACCAAGACAGCAAAACTGTCTGTGCTTTCCATCTCAACTTTGTAATAAGAGTCAGGAGCAAATGTTTTGGCAAGAAACACTGCGCTGTGTAGTTATGTGATTCTTTCATTCAACATTCGGTTTTCTTCCTGGCAAGGAAAGAAAGCCTTGTGCATGGAGAAGGGAGAGACAAAAAAACAGTTCAACAGCACCCTCAGTAATGAATTATTTCATTGACATCTACAACCCTCTGGATCCACTGGATAATTTCTAGATGCTGCTTTTAGAAGTGTCAGCAAGAGTTGTAGCATCTGTGGAAAATAAACATAATTGTTTTTTATTTACATACGTGTAAACCGGTAAGGATCCATCCAGCCATTTCCATTCATTTTCCTTCTCTGAATCCGTTAGTCCAATCCAGAAGCTGCCTTTCCCAAAAATCTGCCTTTTTATCCATTGCTGTAGAAGAAAGATAGTCCATAATGAACAAACACAACTGTCTTTGGAGCCAATAAGCTACTCTGGTTTCAGGACCATCTTTATTATCATAATAGGAAGTGCCAGATAAATTTTTCTAAGCTGAATATATGTTTCAGGAGTTGGCCTTGCGACTCCTTGCCCACACTAGAATCCATCACAGTGTTTGCATGTGAGGTAGAGAGAGATAGGCATGAAAATTAGGTTGACATAAAGTCACAGCCAATGTCTCATATATACAAATTGAAAAAAAACCCAAAAATAAGCAGTTGTGTCTTGACATCCCCACTGCTATGCTGAACAGTAGTAAAAGTATAGTTAGATTTATAGTTAGATTAAAAATATTTTTGGGTCACAGTGGTCTTAGGCTGCATGTATTAAATCAGACAATTTGAAATTAAATTATATTCACCACTGCAAAAAGTACATTTTGGATAGTATGCAAGGCATAATGGACTCCATCTTTAAAGGCTCAAAACTCCTACAACTCTTGCCAGCCCTTCTGTCTTCTCTGTGCCCACCACCTTCAAGGTCAGCACCAGCTCTGCTCACACTGCCCTTCTGCACATGGAGAAGCTGCTGAGCAGGCAGAGGGTGGACAAAATGCTAACTGGAGTCAATCCCCATGTCTACTTCACTATATAAATTCATGATGCTCTCAGCTTCCCACTTGCCTTGTGGCTTCCACATGTTGAATAACTTCAAACTCTGTCCTTGAAAAACATAAAGAGAAGGTAATTAATTACCTGCTCCTCTTTGTTGTTTATGATAACCAAGCGTGATGCCTTCTCTTCACAGAATAACTTTGCCTCTTCAAAAATTTCTCTTTCAATTGAAAAGTAGTAGCACTTTTCTGTATAGTTCTTCCAATGAGGAGAACAACCTGTGATGTGAATTTTTCATGTTAAACCCGTTACTGGTAACTCAATGGGCCAGTGGTTACTTTCTGCATAGGGCCAGTAATAAGTGGAGGACCCCATACCCATCTACAGCATGCTGCCACCTAAAGTACTTACATACACCTTGGGAATTTACTTATTAGGATTCCGACTCTGTGAAATCAAGGCTAAACTGTGTGATCAAGGGGATTATTTATTACTCATGCTACTACTGCCTTTTCTTTAGTCATAAACATTAACTTGAATCAGTTTCAGGTCATCATAAGGAAGACCAACAGGTATGGCTTCACTTAACAGGGCTCTTTGTGGTGAAGTCTAGAGATTTAGTCTAAGGTAGCAGAGGTTATCTAAACCAGTAACTAAAAGTAGTGAGCACCCTCCATTACGTACATTTATATCTCAGTAAAAGATGCATGTGACATGTTGATAGCTTACCATTATCCTCTGGCTCTGATGTAGGTTCACTTTGTAGTGCCATTGGCATCCCTGGACCTGGTGGCCCTGGTGGGCCTGGTGGACCCTTTGGACCAGGCATCCCAGGGACTCCAGGTAGCCCAGGTAGTCCTCGAAGTCCTGGTACCCCTGGCTCTCCCACAGTTCCTTGCAGGCCTTGAAGTCCCGGTGGGCCTTGTAGCCCAGGTGGACCATCTTTGCCTTGTGGACCTGGTGGCCCTGGGTCTCCGCTTGGTCCAGGCAGACCCGTCTTGCCAGGAGAACCTCTCTGACCTTTGGAACCAGGCGATCCTCTTGAACCTTTCCCTCCTTTTTCTCCTGGTGGCCCAGCTGGCCCAGGTGGGCCCTTCTCACCTGCAGGTCCTGGTGGTCCAGGCTCTCCTTTCTCTCCTTTTTGTCCTTTTAGACCAGCGGGGCCAAGAGGACCTTGAAGGCCTCTGTCACCTTTAGGTCCCCTCGGACCAGGAGGGCCTGAAACAATGTAAGCATGCAAAGTGGGGATACGGACAGAAAACAAAACAAAAAGACCACGTGGGGTCCTTGTTTAATGTAGCTCAGACCAGCAACGCTGGAAATTCAACACTGTGAAAACTGGGCTAATAGCTACTTCGAGCAGTGCTTGTAAAAGTATGTCTGCTTCTCAAGTGCTATATGCCATTGATCTTTCCTCAGCCTACATGAAATACAGGATATAGAAGAAAACAATCTAATACACCATGTCCTGTGAACTGGACAGTGACACCATGCCCCTGGTGACCAGCCAATGTGCCAGTGCCTGCAAGACACACTGTGCTGTTGATGCATGTGGTCCTGCATGTTGATGCTTCCATTCCCTCACTCTGCTACGCTCCCTTTTCCTTCTAGCCCCATCTACATAATTTAACACCAAGCTACATAATTTAATAAATGCCAATCTACATAATTTTAATTCCTCCAGAGATAAATTCCTAAACTGGAGTAATTTAGGCCTGGTTGAAATGAGAAAGGTTAAGGTTACTGACATGTAATCTTGGCTTTAATTCAGCCTCAGTTTATTTGGAACAATGGATTTATATTTGTGATTAGAGTTTTAGGCCTGACTGGTTCACATCAGGTTGGAAATATGAGTGTTCTTTTCATTTGGGATAATATTTGGCTGGGAGAAACCTCCTAAACTTGATGCTATTTATTTCTGGAGAAAATAAAATATCCCAGGATTAAAACCTAAGCAAAGTAGGATGTTTTCTGGCAGACTAACAACTGGCTTAAAGTGAAATAGCAACTTGTTTTGCAGTAAGGGTGGACCTTTCTGGGAATAGACATTTCCTCCTTAGCAGGGATTGGTTTCTTGAGGCTCCACACCTTCACTAGCTTATTTTAGAAACTGAATCAAAAGCAGATCCAGTCAATTAGAATAAAATTTTGCTAAGTCAGAACCTTCTTTCCTATGATCCCCATTCTAGCTATGTAAAGAAAGCATAGGAAAATCAGTAAGGAAAATTCAAGTTACATTTACATTTCCAAAGTTTGGGATTAGGTAATGGAAAACCCCAGGACTCTGTACTAGCATGCACTAACTTCCACAGAACTAAAGAAGTAATTCAAGCAGGAATTTGGCATAGACCATTATAGGCATCATTAGGGAAGCTGCATACCTTGTAGGATAGTGAAGTTCTTGATGAGCTGGCCATGTTTGGAATCTACCAGCTTCATTTCTTCCATGATTACTGACAAATTGGCAACTTCAACATCTAACCTTGACCTCATCAAATCCTGTTGCATCTTGAGAGATGCAGAGTCTAAGCGAATATTGGCTAGTGTGCTGTTCATAAAAATCAGCTCATCTGAATGTTTACTTAAGGTGTCTGTACAAGTTGTCCTGACCTCATTGAGATTGCTAGTCAGTGTCCGTAGATGATGAGCAGTGTAGCTGATGTTGCTAATGATATTGACTATATCAGTTTCGAAAACCTGGAACCTCTCTTCTAGCTGGTTGAATTTGGCAGACGTTCTGTTTTCATATTCTTTATGCTGTTCCTGGAGATCCTTTAGATTTTGTTCATTGGCTTGGGCAATTGTAGTGATGTTCTCCATTTGCCCACTGAAGGAGCTGAGCTGATTGTTCATGTCTTCAAGTGTATCATTGTTAGCTTTTGCCAATGCTGAGTTGTTGGTGGCCAAAGTCTGTAAATTTTGTACTTTCTCCTTAAGCCAGTCGGTGTCCTTCCGGGCTTGAAGGACAACCTGCTGCAGATTTTGAAAGTCATTCTTGATTCTTAGAATAGCCAAGCTTGTATCTTCCATTGACTTCTGCAGGACACTGATAAGATTTCTTTGTTGTATTTGTGTCAGGTTTAAGTTGTTCATGTTCATGATGACCACGTTATGAGAATGTACTTGGTTTTGCAAGTTTGTTTGGATATTACTTGTGTCTTGTTGAAGATTGTTGATATACCCAGTATATGCCTGAAGAGTCTTATTGACACTGATGATCATGAAAGAGTTACTATCTAAGGCACTTCTCATTTGGCTCTGTCTATCATCTAATACATTTCCAGATTCTTGCAGCTTCTCCAGTGTATCTTTGTTTCTGGTAGTTTTCTCTGCAATGTCATGAAGCTGCTGACGAAGAGCCAGAATGTCAGATCTGAAGCTAGACAGTTCAGTGTTAGTATTCATGGCTTTTTGTCCAGCTTGGTCATCTGTTGTACAGGAAAAAAAATTTGAAAGGCTTTAGGATGAGCTTTTTAAAATACAGTATAAAAAAACACAGTGTATTTTAAGTAGAGTCAGGTTGTCAAAATGTTCTGTCTATAGAATTTTTATGCTATCTTTTCTGGAAAAGAGAAATCACTAAGCAAAGTTCTGCCACTAGACAGCAAAAAACTCATAGAGGAATCAGTGTAGACTTTGCATCTTGCTGAGGAGAACAAAATATGGGAAAAACTACTGTTACAAACTGATGAGTATATGCAGTCAAATAGTGCTGTATTCGGAATGAAAACTGAATGGTTAACAGAATTAAAAATATTATAAAGGTATCAGTAAGTGTATGTTTTGAAGTTACAACTGGATTTTGCTGAAAGCTTAGAATAATATTTTAGCTGTTCATATTTTCTTCCTCCTTCTCCTGTCAGATGGAATATTTTCATTGTGATTTAGTACATATAGTTCCATTTTTTAAATTCTGGGTTTAGTTTTTAAAAAGTTCTAATACCTATTTTAAAACAATCCGGGTTAGAGACAATAGCTTTGCCAGCAGGCTACCCCAGATATGACAGGATATGATGCATTTCTGATTTTCTTTCTAATATGCTACTATTGCTTTTAATGACTTTTATTTTGCTGTTATTGATTCCTCATGTTCTGAGTTTGAGGAAATCAAAACCTTTAATCTTTGATTAATATCTTTGCTCTTGCTTACACTGTCCTGCAGAATACCTCTGGAAGCTTGTCTAAGTATGATTAAACTTTTGAGGCTGCACAGCTCATCAGCTAGGACATAGAAACCAAGGAAATAAGCAGTCAACACTCACTTTCAAGGAAGACTCCCTTTCTTGACCTCAATCACTTCTGTCTCCTACACACAGTCCATATATTTCTGTCCTCATCTAAGTGTAGGTATATTTATGAATTATGCAGTCTGAAGTCCATCATCTCAGATGACTCCAAGAGAGAGCAGGATGGTTTTCATAAACTATGGTGAATGCAGCTGTGTATGGAGTTTTCTTCTGGTGTGTCTGAATGAGTCATGACGGCAAACATCAAATGGTGGCTTGTGAGACTTCAGTTCAGTCTGAAGTGTTTAGAGAGTCTTTTGTGGATGGACATCTTCCCAAGTACAGTTCCTCTCCCTGCCACTTATCTCACTCCAGGATCTTCTCAGTTCTGACTCTATGTTTACCTCTCAGTTATAGCTCAAATTACATTATGTTCCTCACATAGCTCTGACAACTGCCAGGTCCACATACAGCTAATCCCTGAAGGCCTGCCTTTCATTCACCACATGCTGTTATCCTTCTGGCCCTGCAGCAGTTCTCTTACCTTTATTCCTCCCACACACATTGCCCCATAACTTTTTTAATTTCTGCCATGGCAAGTTCACTTAAATGGAAACTGATGGTCCTGAGCATCTCACTGTCCATCCATCCAGCAGTGTGTAAAAATGTGTGGGCGTGAATGAATCAAAGGTGCTCCAAGTTGTGAAAATTTAGTCAGCATAATGTGATAACCCAAATAGAACCCAAAAGATTGCATGTGCTTTAAGGTGTAACATTTCCTTCCGTACATGTATCGGTACAAATACATGCCACTCAATTACCCCATGTATTTGAACTAAATGCAGTGTGCAAATACTTCAGAATCCAGCTTTTTTAAGGGGAAGAAGTTGTAAAAATTTATGCTCAAGCTGCAAGAAAGTAATTTTTCCTAGAAACACACATCTCAGTACATGGATTGTGAAGCTAAGCAAAATTTATTTCAAGAAGCACACACATGTAGGTGTATATTAATATTTATCTAAAAACTAATTATATAAACTATAAGTGTATGTATATATAAAATTATAATCAACAGCTCGGCTTCGTTTCAGACAAGGAAAAAAGGTAGAAATGTACACTTAGTGAGTAGAATCCTTATTGATGATCTTTTTCTATCTTCTTGGGAACTGTGATAGCACTTGGGAGACCTGAACTCGTACCAACCTTGTGTCCTGTATCCCTTGAGATGATTAAGAAACATTTTATGGAAGTAATCAACTTGCCTCAGACATAAGAGTTTTCAACAGCTTATTATTTGTGCACCCCTTAAAACAGCCTTCAGTTTTGAATCTTAATTGCTAAAGCAGCATCAGGATGAATGGGTGACAGATTTTAATTTTATCTAGAATCTCTTGTGCTGTGGAACAGCTTCTGCTGTTTTACATCTCTGCCTCAGAGAAAACTCTCCTGAGGACAACCTATAAGTGTCTGTTTATTTTAGTATAAATGCTTTCAGTCTGACTTCAGTGGGAACTGTAAATATTGAAGTATGCTTAAAATGCTGTCCTAAGTAGAGCTGATCTTAACTATTTTTAAGTACTTTCCCAAATACTTGAGAAATTAGAATAGAAGTGCTGTATCTTGTCTCAGCCAGAGATTTTTCAGACAAATTCCTGATGCTATCTGCCTGGAGAACAACATAAATCCATGATACAAAGGGGCTTTGCTTGTGTGTAGATTACCTAATTTCTTCAGATCGCTCTCCACCTCTGTGAGCTTTTCTGTATATCTTCTGTGGGACGTTTCCAGGCCACCTGTCACATTGTCCATTTTTTCTACAACTGGGGGAAAGAAAGCAGTATGTTATGAAAAGAAGAAAAGTGAAATTATGAAAAAAGTCTATAGACAATAAAGTAAACCAAGAAAACACCACTACCATCAAACAAAAAAAGAAACCACCTTAAAATTGCCTTGCTTTCCACTACACTCTGCTGTTGCTCTGTGAAATGTTGGAAAGAATAGCTCCTATCTGCTGGTGGGATCCAGCATTCTTCCAGTTCATCAGTCAGCCAACAGTCCCAAAACATTTCTTCGCTCATAAGCAATCTCCCCCCTGAATGAGGAAATTCCTCTTTGTGGGTTTTCCTCATGAATCAAGTCCTTTTCTTTGAACAGTATTTCCATGCTCCAAGCACAGTGCTGTGTGGCAAAGTCAGAGTTACTGCTAAAGGATCAGATGCATGGGAGAAGACCTCCTTTTGTTTTGTTATGAGCCAATTCTCCTTTAAAATAACTTTTTTTTTTTTTCTTGTGCATTTTAATCATTAAAAATTGCCACCTGGATAGAAAACTTTGGCCGGAGATAGCAGTTTGAAGATGCAATTACTAAATGTTTTGGGGATCAACTTTTAAACATCTTGATAATGGTATGGATCACTCAAAACTGCCTTGAAACCATTCTGCCTCATTAATACTGAATGAATGGTCATTCAGCAAGTGAAGATTTATGGCTGACATGCTATTCATTTTGTAATGTCTGAGGCATTTTCTTGTCACTGAGACAGTCTGATTATTTGATGGAATTGATATGGAAATGGAAAAAGCAGAGCAACAAATAAAGAGCCTGGGGTGTCTTCCAGTGGCAAAAATGGGAAATGCTTGCAAGGTTAGAGGCAGCCTTCAGCTTCCACAGCAATCTTTGTCTAATAGGCTTTTGCATTCAAGCCACAACGAGGGGCAGAAATTTCTCCTAATCACAAGATTATTTAGTCCTCTTCCTATGCTGGGAGCAGAGTGGATCTGAACCTACCCTGGGTGAGGCAACAGAAGTTATTGTGCCAGCTCCCGCTTTCAAACAGAAGGAATAAGGTGCTTCCCATGTCTTGAGATAGTGAAGCCAATTCTGTAAACCTGTGTGGAGTAGTGGGTACTGCTAACCCATAATCTGCAGCTAGGAAATAGCATCGTAGAAGCTGTTGCTATGTAAAGATTTGGTTTTTTACTAGAAGTGGAAATTTAGGGGATCTTTTGTTGCTCATCAGCAACCACAGGAATTCAAGGCCTTTAAAGTATAGTCCACCAAGTACTCCTTCTTTATTGACTTTTGCCCTTGTTTTTCTGACTCTGGGTACAGCAGTTACACAGTAGGCTTTTAATTGCTTCCCCAAAACCACTAGGAGAAAAAGCAGACCAAGATTATCTCTGGTGCAACTGCACTCAGGTGAATGGAGTTACAATAGATAAAGTCTCAAGGTTTTCAGAGTGACCAGACATCCTTTGGTGAATTACCTACCTGCTCCTTTCTATACTGCTAACGAGCCAATAAAACAGAGACTCTACTGTGTGTGCAAAGACAGAGTCAGTGTGGATTTCTGTATTTGAGATAATGGCAGACTGCTTGCTAAACACGAGATCCAGGCTACAATAATGGCTTTGCTCTTTCGGGGGACCATTGCTCAATACCTTCTGCTATAGAAAGCATTTTTCCTCCAAATATTTTTCACTGGTACTTCTGCCCATTAAAGTTACTTGTCAAAATGCTGTACACCATTTTTCCTAAATGAAGCCAGAGTTGATTCTCTATTTGTTCTGCCCAACTGTCTTCCAGGCTGGAACCCAGACCAGCAAAAGTCCTTTGGTTACTTCTGATGCTCCACTGATGCATGTATACACCTAGGCATCACATGCAGTGAGCATGGGGAACATACTTGGCTTTTCCTTCTGGCTAGCTGTAGGCAGCTCCTTGTTCAGTCTATGGTGTTTTGCTTTGTTCATGGAGAGTCACTGTGAGGGACGTGGTTCACTCTGGGCACTCAGAGGAGACCCTGTGAAAGCATCTGGATTTAAAAAGCAGGCCTACTTCAAGTGTTTCTGCTAGACCTGTGCCATGACTAGCAATGTCACATTACCTATGGGTCTTGTTAATCCAGATTTAGTGTAATATTCACCTGTTTTCGCCACTTATGCAATACACTTGGCAAAAGAATATATATTATCAATAATGAAAGGAAAATGTAGTTTCTTCCTTTCGCTGTTCAAATAAATGCTAGTTTGTACTTCAGGTCTGAAGTTTGCAAAACTGAGATTTTATACTGTCCTATAACAACAAGAATGTTTTCATGGTTGAATGAAATCTAACACTGGAAGCTTGAGTTAAAATATTCCCCTGAAGACTCCAAAGCAAATGAAAATAATAGAAATCCTATCAATATGTAGTAGCCTGTACTGGCAGTCAGATGAGATTGGATGGAATTAAAGATACAACAGTGTATGTTATTTTCATGGCCAAAAGTAAAAAAAAAAGCACCCACCCCACACTAAAAAGACTGAAGCTGGTCTGTAGCTGTGGACATTCTTTGTGTGGAACATACCAAAAATTTGTTGAAATGGGACCTTATTCAGAAGCTTTACTGGTATTACTGACAATTGGCCATGATACGTGGGGAAGACTGTGGCTGGACTGTGACTGAAAGATCACTAATGAGCACTGTTAAAAGGTCCTTCAGTCACCAGTAGCTTGTTTCCTACAGAAAATAATAGCTTTTAATTCTAGTGTGTAACTGGATGCCAGACAGCAGCCCTAGATCGGGAGGGCTGACACAACACTTAGCTGGAAGATGCTGGCTTAGAGAGGCTGGAAAGAGAAGGCTGCTTTCAAATACACGAGGTATTGATTTTTGTCTATTTGACTCTAAACTGGTGATGACTTACCCAGATTAACTGATGTGAAGTGCAAAATTAACTATATCAGGCAAACCACTTCCTTTATTTTAATTCTGTTCCCCCTCAGAGGTCAAGTCAGTCCTGTCAAGTGAAGTGTAGAGGAGAGAGGCCAGAGCCAAGTTCAAACCACTCAGCTCCAGCAGCAGAAACAGTAGAGGTCTCTGCAAACGTGAACTGCAGGGTTAGCTCAAGGATGACCAGCGATGCAGGCTAAGATGTATTTTGTCATCCCATAGACAAACCAATGCATATATTTGCTTTATACACAGGCAGGACCTTAGCCTGCAGAGTCAAACAAATCATGAGCCTGGGGGACTTATCTCCTGCCCAAACTCCTTTCCCAAGCAAGTTGTATCTTATTTTCTCTCTTGCTACTGCCCTGCAAGTGCAAAGGATGAACTCTGGGGAGAATGATTAGAGCACTGTGGCCAAAGTAGGTTTTACTGCTCTTGCTGTCAAAATATGGATGGATGTCCTATTATTGGGAATGCGTTTACTTCCCTGGCAGTAGCTCCCCCCACCATATCTGGATGGAAACTTCAGTGATAGGGGAGCACGTGGAGCACTCTCAGGAGTGGAAGTCAACCTCTGGGGAGTGCCTCAGGCTTGAACAGCCAATTCCCATCTCCTCCAGAAAAAGGCAAGGGCAAAACAAGCATACCATCCATAACATCCCTTATGAAGGCCACTCTGCTGCACCCAACAGTCTGCGGCTCTCAAAAATGCGAAGTCTGTCTATGCCTTAAGCTTGGTTTTGGGTTAGCTTCACCTTAACTCTCCGATTGGTCAGATCTCTCTACATTGTCATCTCACTTTCTGACAAGGTCACTGTGGAAAATGTGGTAAAGACCCTCCAAAAGAAGCCAAAATTTCAAGTAGTTGCTGACCAGAACAGTGAGGACTGTTTGCATCTGAGCCACTATTTCAGAAGCCTGGACAAAATGTGCCATCTCACCAGGATGTGTCGGCCCTAGGTAATGTTAGGCAAACTCTGTCTGGGAGACAGATAAGAGAAGTAGATGAAAGTCATGGTGGGCATTAGTCAAGAAACTTAATACCAAGGACTGACCGGAGAACAAGAACTACCAGAAATTCAAACTGAGAGCATGCTAGCTTCCCTCAGTAGAGTGACTCATGGGAAGATCACCCACCTTCTATAGGCTAATCTGACGCTGGCTGCTGCCAGAGAAATTATAACTTTGTATTTTGCACTTAATTTAAGAAAGTATGTGTAAAAAATTGCAGATTGCTTTATTAATGTTTTTAACAATAATTTAATCTGTCTTCTCAAAACAAACTAATAGTAAACTCAGCTTGTTACTCCTTCATGACCTTGATGTTTAATTAATGTTTTGGTTTCAGGTTTCTCCATCCTACTATGTAATTTTTACCACCAGTTCAGAGGTTTGTTCTGTGTTGACTTTGCCTCCCATTGAGTTATTATTTGCCTGCCATATTTAATCCACTGATTAGTAGTTTTAACATTTTAAATCACAAAGGATATCTAAATACCATGTAGGAAATGAAAGTTTTAAAAGTAGTTTTGGGCTTTATAAACATAAGTGTGGGAGGCAAATTTAATGGAAACTTAGCTAAGAGACTGAAAGAATCCCTGATGCCAGCAGAATTCCTTCTTTCACTGTAATATTGCAATAAAAAAGACAAGCCAAACTCTGATGCAGAAAGGAGAGTTCAAGAGCTCTATAAAATTTTATTTTGAGTTTTGTTCTTCCTTTAAGGCCTAATTCCTTCCCAACAATCAAAAAATATTGCAATAATTCCTTTGAATATGTAATGTCATCTGGGCTTTTGTTTAACTTATGCTTTCCCTGTAAATTATTACTTAGGCATTGTGAAGATGAAGCTCTTAAACTGCAGGTACAAAGGGCAAAATTAATGCCTGACATGCGACCATTTGCTGCTTGGTGTTACAGAAGGGATACTGTGGACAAAACAGGACTTTTCTCCAGTGTATGCCTCTTTCCCTTGGCATTCAGGTGGAGCAGTTTACCAAGTCAGTGAGCAGTGGAACAGTGGTTACCAACATGTCTTAAGGTCTGTGAGCAAGATGTTGATTATCCTGCTTCCTATGATCTTTCCCCCAATTTTTTTTTTTTTTTGTTTTTTTTTTTTTTTTGTTTTTTTTTTGTGGGAGAGGAAATTATTTTGTCCTTGCCCTGGATAGATGTGGCTTGGTACTGCTATGAGAGAAAGACTAGTCCCCGGTCAGGCAACAATGACTACTCATTACAAGAAGGATATTTAGAAGTGAGTGCAGCAAAGAGCTTTCCCTCAAGAGCAAAGCCTAGGGAAAAAAATGGTGCTAGAGGCCCCCATGGAGAAAGAAGTTTGAAAACTGTGGATTAAAAAGAGGAAGAGAAACTGTCTCCCAAAGAGATCTTTTGGACAGTTTCCTTATTGCTATTGGTTCCTACACACACAAACAAACATTTGCCGAAGTAATATACAGAGCAATGGCCCCTCCAACTTGATATGCTGTTGCTGGTGCCAAGTGAGGTCTAAGTTTTCTGGTGAGCCCCAGAACTGACAGCCTTGTATAAAACTCTCATGAGGAAAATTCTGCTAAATCCCAGGCATTTAGTGGCTAGTTTATAGCCTGGAAGGATCCCATCCTCATCTGCTGTGAGCAGGTCTCCACAGATTTATATCTGCAAAAAGCCTAAGTTTGTCCTCCCCTAGTCCATATAACCAAATGATCTTATCTTTATAGATCAAGAACAAGTTTTTGAATCCTGGAATTTTTTTTTTTAGCTCAGAATCTGACTACCAGACCCAGTTACACATTCTTCAGAAGAATGTCTGACCAATTATGTATGTACTGCTTTTTTTGAATTTGCATTTAATTTGTGACACTCCGTCTGCTTTATCATGAAAAAGGAATAGCTACGTGTCTCTATCTGTCCTTCACACTCTCTCATCTTCCTGGCTAAATATTCCATCTAAACCAAGCAGTTTTAATTTTCTTCCTGCTCAAAACTGCACCAAATCCTCTTAAATAAGTATTTATCCCTTTCTATTTTTACAATTTCCTTTTCTTTTGCTGGCAAAGGACCAGAGGTGATGTCAGCTCTGCTATGAGCACAGCTGTTGGCGGCACAGGATGCACTGCATGCTAATCACATGAATATTTACCCAGCTTCTTGGAGGGGTTTTGAAGCTACTTTCAGAGCCATACTCAAAGCAGCTAGTTCAAAGCTAGATTGGTTTTCTCTGCAACATGTTGGGATGTCCTGTTATAAAACTCACAGTGTTGTTATTAGCTTTCTTTTTCTTATCAGAAACTCATGGATTATTTATTTAACTTATAGCTGTGACTGCACAACAAGCAGACATCTACATCAGAATACTCATAAGAATGCCTAAGTGGCTACAGTTAATTAGTGCTGAGGACATATGGGACTTTTAAGCTATGCTTTCCAATGTGCCCTACCAATGACTTGCACAAGTGAAATCTTCATTACTGGGTTGCCCAACTACCAGAATCTTAGAAATTACTGCCAAATGCATCTAAGCATCTTTGTTCATCAAAATAAATGTAGATAACTCAATACATTGGCACCTCCTGGTTCAATCTTTCTTCCAGATATTTCAAAGTAATATTGATCCTACACTCTGCTCCAGTGTTAAATATGATATTAGTACGACTATTCCTGACTCTTGCACCAAGAAGGACATTTATTCTGGACAGGTGTGATATGTGTAAAACAGCTGAGTTAAATCAAGGTATAGCACGTTACAGAGCTTTGAGTCTTCCAGTTAGTACTCCTTCGTGGTAGAAAAATGATCATTTTCTAACTTTTTTCTTTTCATTCAAATGTCTAATCTAGTTTCCAAACTTCATAATTGTTTGAAAGTGAAAACCTATGGTTGCAGTTTGTTGTTATGTGTGTACAAAAAGTCAACATTGCCAAGCTATTGATATTAAAGGTGAAATGTGATAAACTGCCTGTCTATCTAATATGTGGAAACGTGCTTGGATGCTTGGCTGAAAGTGAAATGTTGAGCTCAATGCATACATACCTTTGTATCCCAGAATGGCTACTGTGATTGTTAACAGGGCACATAAAATATATAATAAGATGATGGAAAACTTCAGTGCCCAGTTATTTTTACATTTGGTACATTGAGTCCCCTCCTGAATACCTGCAAAAGAAGATTTTAAGAATTTTAAAACGATGGCAAAGAACACATTGCTGGTTTTATCTCCACATTTCCTCTCCTCCATTTTCTAAAGAACAAATTATTTATGTAAGAAGATGATATACGGGTACCTATCTGCCTATTTTGCCAGGATAGCCTCCATGGTGGTTAAAGCATCAGCTTAGTGATACAATCACTTTAGGATTTTAGCACATGGAAGAGAATTAGGTTCTGCTTCACTGGAAAACCTGTGGCTTTCCTGAGAGACAGGACTATTTTCTGATTGTGCTAACAAGACTACGTTGAGCTTTGGAAGTCAAATGTTTATTAACACCTCCCTTGTCAGGCATCACAATGCAGCAGCTCTTTCTTAGTCTTCAGTCTCCCTACAGGTGCAATATGAGACAGTAAATGCTCCAGCAGAAGGAAAATACAGAAATAAAATAACAATGTGAAAATCTGATAGGAGTACAGGTCCTGCTTTGTAACCATTACCAAAAATGGTTACCATGTGAATACCTTCTTTCCATAATAAGAGAAACTTTTTTTCTTATTTTTGGTGGGTTTGGAGAATTCTATTTCCACAGAAAAGAAGGGGTGCTATACAGGTAAAGCTAGCGGTACATCTATACCAACAGAAAAATGCTGGTGAATTTCCTCTTGTGGGCAAGTTTAAGAAAAGGAGCCTCAAGCTTATGAGAGAAAACAGGCTTTCATCATTTTATACTTGAACTTTTTGCAGAATGATTTTATGTCTATTAGGGAAGCAATATTCCTCCTTTTTCTTCGTGCTCTTCAGGAACAGCTCAACAGTGTTGGAAGCATTGATTAAGTTACCAAGAAATTAATCAGAAACACAAACATGTAAAAACATGAAAACTGAACCACTGTGCTGGAATGAATGGGCAGGATTTATCCCTCCTTCCAATGTGCATTAAGGCCAGGGTTAATGTAGCTTTCTGTGTCTGTCATAAAATGCATTTCTTTGATATTTTACTCTATTTGTGTACTATTAGGGGAGTCCCACAGGAAAACTTTAAACTCTAATAAATTCTATGTACCAGATTACTTAACTAATCAAAACTTGCTCCATAGCTTTTTATGAGTAACTTATATTTCCCCTGAGGCCTAACCCACAGCTGATTTTACTTTTCCCAACTCATGACCTTCTGCAGAGTGTTTTTTTATTTTTAATTTTTAAGAGAAAAGCATGGGCCAATTCCCCTGGGTTCACAGAGGACAGGTGACTGACAAACCAAGGTACGTCAACTGTTTTTCTCTCTCAAAGAACAGCATTTTCCAGTGACTTCCTTGAGCCCAGGGTACTTGAAGGAGGGATTACCATATTGGAGCAACTCAGGAAGAGGATTTATACAAAGTTTATTTGACAAGGCATTTTCTTTAATTCCATCTGCACATCTACTAGCTGTGGCTAAGGCAGAAATGCATGTCTCACAGGTCAGCCCACTTTCCACATTATGTCATCTCATGTTTTTTCTATGCTTTTCAGCTGTGACATCACATTCTGTTGCCATGTGATGAAAGCAGTGTCATAGATTTGGGTTCCTTTGAGTTTAGGCATAAGATCAGTTCTTTTGTCAAGAACAGGAACATTAGGGGAAAATGTGAAAAAGACTTGTAAGCATTAATCCAAGAACAGAAACTCCAGAGGGGGAAAGGCTTCTCTCGTGCCTGTGTAGGTGGGAAGGAAGGGAGCTGGCACAGAGACAGGCAGTTGCATAGCTCATTTATTGGTGACTTGAGACTTGGATTTGGAAGGCAGATAACTCCTGCACCACAAAAGACAAGGAGAAGGGTTCATAATTCAAGATCCAAGTTTGCTTATGGATCCTGATGTGTGGGCTGTTTTCCTTTGTTTGGTTTACAGACTCAGTGAGTTTGCTAGTGGGGAAGCTTTGCTTGCTGAAAAAAAAAACCACAAACCCAAGCAAAAAAAACAGAAAGGGAAAGTGCAATTTTCTAAAGGTTTTCAGTAGGTATTCAGAGACTGAAATTTTTACACAGTGGGAACTTGTGGTGTCTGGGGCACCATTTTGCTGCTGTTAGCGGGTACTAATGGGCTCATTGAGCCCCTGTGCACTGAACGCAAGGTTCCTCCTCCAAAGGGCTTAAAATTCAGATTCCAATCCTGTAAGTCTTTGAACATCCCACATATCAAAAAACACCAGAAGCTTGGGTCAAAAAGCACATCACATTCACCTTCTAAATACACAGATAACAGGAAACTTGATCCTCCCCATTTTAATGTTAATGGAAGCAGGACCAGATCCATAACTGGGAAGACTTATAGTCTGCAGTGGTACAAAGCACAGAGAAAGGCGGAAATAAAAACAAAGCCTTTGACAGCAACTGCACATAGAGAAGTTTCACTTGATTACAGTCTCATATTAAGATTACTCCTTTTATGACATGACCTGCTTTCTGTCACCGTACTCCAGTTTCCTGTGAAGTGTAATGAGCTGAAACTTCCCTGATGTCACTGGATGCACTGCCGTTCAGCATCTAGTATCAGGTATGTTCCAGTGCTTCATAAGGATCTTGTTTCACTTGTCTCAGTCCTCTCTATCGCTGGTTCAATAAAACAGCACTTTGGCTTTTTGGAACTTTCACTTTCAGTGTATTTCAAACTGATGTTAGAACAGCACCCCAACAAAACCCAGACCTTCCCATCCTCTTAACAGTCCAGCACTGTTGGTATCAATAACATAAACACAGCGTACTAAAGCGATCATACAGGCTAGAGTGATTCCATTAACTCATCTGGGCTGGAAGTGTGTATTGCATTGCCTGCTGGCGCTTTCTGCCTGTCAGCTTAAAACTGTGTCTGACTGCCATCAGACCTCTGCTACCCTCATCTAACATGTCCCAGGTCCAGGGCTGGAGTAAAAAGCCATGGAGCTCTAACAGACTCTTTTGTTTTCCTTTGCCTAGAGATGGACACAGCAAAGTCTTTCAGAGCTATTAAATGTACTTTTTATTGCAAATACATAGCTCTTACCTCTGTTGCTACTAACAGCTGACTTTCTAGTTTACTAACCGTATGAAAATTACTGGAGATAGAGGTACCTTGAAGAAAAGATCTGGGAGACTCATTCTGATGTCTTTCTGTGCAGTTAAATAATCCAGGATATCAGCAAAGGTAAAAGTCAGGAATGTAACCCTCTCTGTATAGGTATGAATTACAGTGTAATCAGGGCTCCACAACATCTCCAAGCACAGAGCCTGGCTTCAACTTGCCCTATTGCTCTTCCTCACTGTCCTGTTTAAGGGCCAAGCCCAAATAAGATTGTTCTGATACAGGAGACACATTTAGTCTGCACTGTGAGGACACTTACTTTTATTGAAAAGACCGGATAGTCAAAACATTAAGCAACAACAGATGGGAGATGATTTAAAATGCTCATTCTGATTACACAAAACCCAGCAGGTTGACATAAAATCATACAGGTTTATCACAAAAGATGAGAGTCAAGGCTTGAGTGAGCCCATGCTTGGGCTTTAATTTGATAAAACATCCTCAATTTTACCCACTCAACTGCTTGCTTTCATGGCTTACTTAAAATGCAATGTTCTTCCAGGAGATGTGTAACCTCTCATCTAGAAAGCTGTAGAGTATATGTACAAGGAAAGACCCTACACACCCATTCCACCAATAGAACATATGTAAAACCTGCGAAAGGGGGTTCTCGGCTGAAGTCAGCTCTTCTCCGTTTGTTATTGCTGCTCCTAGTGCAACACACTCCTCTCTGTGTACACGTGTTTTCAATGTTGGTCTGCTCCCAGACATTTGTCACTAACTTCCAAGCCCAGGGAGCCAGGGTCACTTCCGCATGATGTGCATTTCTCACTGCTGATTTGATCAACGTTTAATAAATATCAGATGGGACACAATGTGCCTTGTTTCGCTGGACACATGCTTTTTTCCATTCCTTTCCCTGACTTATTTTAATAAGAGCTCTGGTTTTTCTATCTCACTGTTGGGAAGACATCTGGCCAAACAGAAAGCGACCTAGTACAAAGAGATCCTGCTGTCTCACATGCTTTGGGGACCCCCTTCTCTGCAAACCAAGATGGTCACAAAAAAATATGCAAGTGAGACATCCCCCTGTTACCAGGCTTTGTAGTATTTGTTTTTATAGCGTTGCATTCCAGTGACTAAAGACTTTGTTCTCATGCAGGGGGTATACATCTGCAGATTCCTTTTGGGCTCCAGATAAGCAGAGGTTTTGCTGGGGGGAGGAGCTGGGGTTTTTGGTTGTTGTTTTTTTTTGTTGTTGTTGTTATTATTGTGTGTTTTTTAATGGGAGACTAAATATCTTTGCTCTTTGATATGGAGTAACCACCTTACAAAATGCCTGACTCCTCAACTATATTACACTTCAAGAGCATGTATTTGAACACTCAAATATGATATGTACACATATGTTTTTTTCTGAATAATTATTTTAAAAGTATTTGCCTCTGTGTCCTTTTCTTGGCTCTTGCTGTGGGATCTCAGGAGGCCTCAAAATATTTCTGCTAGCAGATCAGTTTTGACAAAGATGCAAGGTTCTCTTTATAACCTGGACAAAAAATGTACTGATAAGATGATTGAAGAAATGTGCAGGAAACGAAAATACATACATTAGTTAAGAGGGGTTTTCCTCAGTGTGGTTCACTGAAAAGAGATAACATACCTTGAATTTCATAAGGAAGATTTCAAGCCTAGCTTGCAGCCTTCAAATGATAAATTTCTCATAGCTAATGTTTTCAAAACTGATGAACAGTAGACCTAATATTTATATTTAAAGGGGCCTAGGCAAACTATGTCCATCTAGTTCCAAACCGTGGCCACGGGCAGGTGTCCTTGCCTATGGCAGGGGGGCTGGAACCAAATGATCTTTAAGGTCCCTTCCAATCCAAACCATTCTATGATTCTGTGATTCAACATGTAGGTAGGAATCGAATACTGAGAGGTACTTAATTATGCAGAATTACAACAA